AAACCCGGCGGGCAGGGTAAAAATTGTTTAACTTAAAAAAAAAAAAAAAAAAAACATCTCTAGGCCTCGAGTTTTTTGTCATTCAACTGCCTTGCATTTTTTTTAAAAGCGCATTCTGTGTGAATGAATGGCCCCTAAGAAAGCAGATGCCTATATAGACAGCAAGGCAGCTCACTTTATTACAAAGCTCATATGTTAAATAACTGAATGAACTATGTTCTTACCATCGTGAGGGTGCGGAGGCATGGTGGTGTTTCGGATGTTGGGCGCGTGTGTCGTCCTCTCCTGTAGGGGGGGCACTGTGCTTTTTCTGCGAGGGGGAGGAGGGGCTGGATGGAAGATTCTTGGCCTCGCTGACCAACAAAAAGAGATCCAATCATGTTTAGCACAGATAATTGGCCAAAAATGAGACAGATTTCTCTGATTTGTCTCACCTGCATGAGGTTGGCAGCCCAGCAGCTCCATTTTAAGGGCGATCCTCTGGTGCCACTGCAAGGGACATATTCTGATAAATCGTGCTTCAACTGGAGGAATAAAGTTGTTCCGCACTTCCTGGAGATAGTTGGTGTTGCCTTGGAAAATCTGTTACAGAGACACAAGGACACATTGTCTTGGCAACAAAGAACATTTGGCCTCAGACCAAGGTCCGTCTTATTTACGCCTAATCAATGCGGTTCTCGTTAAGCTCCCTGACAGTCGATGGACATTCATTATTAATGACCACAGAGTGCACTTTAATTTCAGGCTCCTTAAACCTCAGGAATGTAAAACCCTTTTTCCTGAAAATATACAAACAGTGATGTCATTCTGCAGCAGTTCCATAATACCCCCAAACACAAAAGAAGACTGGGCAACAAAACACATGGTCTGCTTCAAAACCTACTGAGCTGGATATGCTAGTATGGTGCCTTTTAAGATACCTTGTTTTGGCCAAATTCAATTGCATTGCATCACATAAAATGAAATACAAGATAGTGGATAGGGGAAATGTTGAGAATAAACCACCCTAGATTTAATTTAATAATTACAAAAATTTTAATAAAATGTAATCCAACATTTTTACCTAATATTACATCCTAGCATCAGGGTAGTAGCAATATCTGCTGAAATGAATTGAAAGTAATGTATTCTGTGCACAGTGGTGTTGCTGCCAACGTACAGCATTCCAAATCAGTCATTTATAAAGTTTCTGAGGGTTAGGATCCTTTCTTAAAAGAGTTTGGAACAGAGTTAAGCTAACACAATACAAACAATCCTCCATACCTTGTTTTTATCTGATCCCACTTCTTGGTAGGGTTTCCATTGCTGTCCATCATGGCTATATAACACCTCATAGGCTGAAATGTAAAACTGATATTCTTGGAGGCTGGAGCCAGTGGTGGTAATACCTGAGAAGCAGAGGCAAATGACTGACCAATCAAGATACAGATGCAAACACACCGATCCTTTCTTTCTCTCTCTCTCTCACACACACACACACACAAACTCTACCTGTTATTTTTTTCTCTTTCTTCAAGTCCACTTGAATCCATTCTTTTGTGTCGCTGTTGGCTGCTGCCCACGGACATCCTGGTGTTTTGAGGCGAGCCCCTGTGGGGCCCCAGACAGTGGGCTCCTTTCCGTGACCGCCCCATTCCCACTCTGAGGAGGCTGTGATCTGAGAGTCACTGACCACCCCCGACTCCAAACCCAAAGTGCCATAGCAACCTTGAAGAGAGAGAAAATGAAAGGTTCTATTATTAGATCATCAAGGTGTTGGGCATTTCTGTAGAAGTGACAGGAATAAAGAAAAAACTGCATTTTTAAATCTTTATTAAATAAAAGTATATACAATCTCTATTATATTTTTCTGCTTTTTATTATTAAACAGAAGTTATAATAACATGATTTTTGATACATTACTGATTCACTCACCGCTAGTCTTGAAAGTAAAAAGGCTGGGGGAGAGATTTCCACTGTAAGAGGGAGAAAGATGCAGAGCTGTCATTCTGTCTACCAATCAATCAGTTTATTACATAGATGAAAAAAAACTCAAAGAGAGAACTCAAATCGAACTAGATTTGCATTTCCAGAAAGACATACCAGTGCTTGCAAGGCAGAAATAATTTTTAATTAAAATGTAATAAGTTTAATGTTTGGGTTTTGATTCTGTGTAAATGAAATGCTGCATCAGAGATGCTTTGCACACAGCATGCATCTAGTTTTCAATAAATATCAACACAATATCATCTTCGCGGTGTAGACAACCACAGATAGCTCTAAATAAATGCATCCAGTATGCAAATGTTAAGCTGTCGTTTAAACTGTGTTCACGTCATGTCGGAATTACCATAATTACCAGATGACAATTTGGAGCAGTTCAGGTCCTCTGACTCAGAAAGTATTCGTTTCTATGGCAACGCACGATTCATAATGAAAAGATGAATCCATGTGCCGCTTTGTTGTTTATAAACCCTATTCGCACGGGATTAGTATTACCTGGTGACCTCCAGTCATTTGTAATAATTGCGGAGGTTGTCTGTGATCTTAATCCCGTGCGAATCGGCCATGTCTGTAATTTATCTCCCCGCAAATGACCTACCATATTTCGCCGAACACCGAGGTCCTGTGATAATATTAGTCCCGTGCGAATCGGCAACTTTGTGATTTGGCCAGCATTTGGCAGGTCGTATATAATTTTTTGAGGTTTTTGTTTCCTGTGCACCTTTTTATCCATCTTTCGCGAAGAATGGAGCTGCGTTGGAGTGTTTGATAGTATTTTGGGTGCTGTCATATCGCTACACCATACAATTTGCAGAAAGAGAAAGCTGAAAAGGTTTTCATGTGTTACAAATAAATCAAGCATAAAGCTTGAGATATTATATTAACCTGGTGGAATGTAAATGACACAGGGCACGAAACTATATTAGTTTATTTTTTAAAAATCCATCTAACCGGACCATAGAACGGGACTCTCAAAGCCTTGACATCCGGGTATCCGGGAGATAAATCCGTAAATTCGAGTAAAATCACAGGCTTCGCTTATCCCGTGCGAATGCACCACACGAAATTCAGATGTGGGGGGGTAATTTCAAAATCACACAAGGTCCCCAGATAATACTAATCCCGTGCGAATAGGGCTCAAAGCCTTGACATCCGGGTATCCGGGAGATAAGTCCGTAAATTCGAGTAAAATCACAGGCTTCGCTTATCCCGGAAAAACACACCACACGAAATTGAGATGTGGGGGGGTAATTTCAAAATCACACAAGGTCCCCAGATAATACTAATCCCGTGCGAATAGGGCTAGTACTTAATTCACTACATTAATTCACCTCTATACGCTCTTGCAAAATACTGGAGAACAAAAAAAAAATGATATGACTATAATAACTATAATATAATATAAATAAAGCTTAGATCAAATTTATTTTGCAACTTGTAATTGCAAATTCAAGAAAGACGGTTTCTACTTTTAATATACAATATTTACTTTTTAATACATATTTTTAAATCCCCCCCCCACACACACAGATAGATAGATAGATAGATAGATAGATAGATAGATAG